AACATTTATGAAGGAATTCAGGGAAACTAGTTAGCCAGATTTAAGTCCTGGAGGTGGGAAGTACTGTGCTGGCAATCTGTAGGAAGGGTGGGGATACTGCATTTGGAGGGGCATCTGAGCTGTAGCATAACTCTGACATACCTTTGAAGAGTTTCGAGGGTTTCACTACTCTCGGAGCCCCGCCATGCGCCAGGTGCGTCTGGTGCTTGCCTAGTCAACCAGGCTGTTACTGCTGGAGGCTCACTGCTCCACATATCCATCACAACCTGGTTGATCTGGTACATGGTGAAGAAACTCGTCCAGTTTCCTCTTGAAGGTTTCTACCCTTGTTCCAGCCGTATTTCTGATATCTTCTGGTAAGATATTGAACAGTCTGGGACCCTGAATGTTGAGACAGTGTTTCCTTATTGTCCCAACTGCACCCCTGCTTCTCAATGGGTTTATTTTGAACTTCCTCCCATATCTCTCCTCCAGTATGTTGTTATGGCAGTGTGCAGATTTGGGACCAGGCCCTTGAGTACTTTCCTGGTATATATTAACATATACAGTGGACCCTCGCCTAACAAACGCATTGCATAACGTTAAATCCGGCTAGCGATACATTTTAACGCAAAAATTTTGCCTCGGCTAGCGCTAAAAAACTTGTCCAACGCAATTCGCTCCGTTCGAGACGCAGACACTTGCGACCTGAGCGCGCCTCACTTGTCCCGTGGGTGCCAGTGTTTACAAGCCAGCCACCGCGGTAGCATCCAAACATACAATTGGAACATTTCATATTATCACAGCGTTTTTAGTGATTGCACCTGCAAAATAAGTCACCATGGGCCCCAAGAAAGCTTCTAGTGCCAACCCTACAGCAAAAAGGGTGAGAATTACTATGGATATGAAGAAAGAGATCATTGCTAAGTATGAAAGTGGAGTGCGTGTCTCCGAGCTGGCCAGGTTGTACACAAAACCCCAATCAACCATCACTACTATTGTGGCCAAGAAAACGGCAATCAAAGAAGCTGTTCTTGCCGAAGGTGCAACTTTGTTTTCAAAACAGAGATCGCAAGTGATGGAAGATGTTGAGAGACTGTTATTGGTGTGGATAAATGAAAAACAGATAGCAGGAGATAGCATCTCTCAAGCAATCATATGTGAAAAGGCTAGGAAGTTGCACGATGATTTAATTAGAAAAATGCCTGCAACTAGTGGTGATGTGAGTGAATTTAAGGCCAGCAAAGGTTGGTTTGAGAGATTTAAGAATCGTAGTGGCATACATAGTGTGATAAGGCATGGAGAGGCTGCCAGTTTGGACCAAAAAGCAGCTGAAAAATATGTGAAGGAATTCAAGGAGTATATAGACAGTGAAGGACTGAAACCTGAACAAGTGTTTAATTGTGACGAAACAGGCCTGTTTTGGAAGAAAATGGACGTACATTACTCAGGAGGAAAAGGCACTCCCAGGACATAAGCCTATGAAAGACAGGCTTACTCTGTTGATGTGTGCCAATGCTAGTGGTGATTGCAAAGTGAAGCCTTTATTGGTGTATCACTCTGAAACTCCCAGAGTGTTCAGGAAAAACAATGTCCTCAAGGCTAATTTGCGTGTGATGTGGAGGGCAAACAGTAAGGCATAATGAGAAAAAACTGCAATCATATTTTTGGTGAGGTGTGCTTTTGTAGGGTTTTTATGGTTGCATTCTTGGTTTCTTGATGTCATTTGATATAATGGAAGAGATATTACAGAAAAAAAAAAGATGATTTTGATTGGTTTCAGGACTAAAACTACTTTGAAACTGAGCTCAAATTAGCAGAAACGTTCCATTTTTGCAGATATTCCAGAGTACAGTAAATACACAAGTGATGTCATTCGTCCAATACGCGTCCAACTGGCTGGTTTAATATGTGGTCACGAATGGGTTGACATTATTTATACAATTATTACAATAATGTAGTAGTCTGCATAACAGTAAATCTTCTATTTTTTGTGTGTGAATAAAAATTCAAAATGGAAAGCAAGCATAATATAAGAGGGGCCAGGAGATGTGACTAATGAACAGAGAAAATGTTATTTTAGTGCCAGGAATGTCTGCATTGTTTATTCTGGGCCCTTTTTGGAAATTGGCATTTCTTGAAATATGTGTGAAATTGGCCAAATTACCAATTTCTGATCACTTTATTGGGTACTTGAAATATGTAAATGGGCAGTTTCTTATACTCAATTGATAGAAGGAATACTAGCGAAATAACTATGAGTTTGGTTGACTGGAACAATGGAATTGGCCAAAAATAGGGCGCAAATTGGACGAAAGCGCCAATGCGTAAATATCGCTGAGACCGTTGACTTCAAAAGAGCATAATTCCATAAGTTTTCCACCAAATTTTGTAATTTTAGTTTCATTACCTTCACAATAAGATTCCCTATCATTTCATAAGATAAAATAATTTTTATATATTGTTTTTGAAATTCTTTCACCCTGTGAGCAAGCTTGAGAGCAGGGGTCTTGACCCTGAAAGGGTTAAATATAATAAAACCGCAATTAGTTCCTGGAGATAGTTAGGAGCCTCACACAACAGAATTATTAAACCCCTGCAATAAATTCACATTAAGCCAGCAGGTTACTGAATAATGCACTCACCTTATTAGAGCAAGGCATGTCAGTGATACACATAGCCACAGATGTGAAGGTGACTACGATGGCAATTTACAACCTCAAGAAAGCAGCTGCCTCACTCACCTGGCACCGTACCACCCAGGAAATTGGGCTCTGGGACCCCCAAAAAGAGAGAAAGTGCTATCAGATCCTGCCATAACAGCCGCAGACCTCAAGAAAAAGCATCCAGCACTCCTGAAAGACGTCGCAGTGAAAACTACTCAGCACAGACTGCAAAAGTACCTGAAAATGCCTGCTCAATGTGCCGCCAAGAAGCCCATGCTAACTGAAGCCACGGAGAAGAAATGGTCTCAGTTCTGCAAGAAGTACAAGGATTGGACTTCAGACCAGTGGCAGAAGGTGATGTTCAGTGACGCGAGTAACTTAAGGTTCGTCAGGAGCGGTTCCAAAAACCATTAGACCTAACAGTGTTGTGGTCTGAGGCGCTTTTAGTGGTTATAAGGGCAGGGGTGGACTATACTTCCTTCCTAAGAACATTACGATGAAGGAAGTAATTATATCAAGGTGTTAACCCCTTGACTGTCGCAACCCCAAATCCTGAGGTGTCTCGTGGAGTCACAAAATTTCCAATTTTTTTTTTATTTTTTCTTATGAAATGATAAGAGAATCTTTTCCCGATTGTAATGACACCAAAAGAACGAAATTTGACGGAAAACTGACGGAATTACGCTCTCGTGAAGTTAGCGACCTCAGCGATATTTATGAATTGGGGATTTTGCCCACTTTGAGCCCTATTTTCGGCTAATTCCATTGCTCCAGTCGACCAAACTCATAGCTAGTTCTTTAGAACTCCATTTCTTCTATCGATTGAGTAGAAGAAACTGCCCATTTACAGATTTCAACTGCCCAATAACATGGTCAGAAATTTGCAATTTGGCCTATTTCACGAAAATTAAAAAATATGACAATTTCAAAATAGGATCCAGAATGAACAATGCAGACATTCCTGGCTCTAAAATAACTTTGTTCATCAGTCACATCTCCAGGCCCCTCTGATATTACTCTTGCTTTCTCTTTTGAATTTTTATTCAAACAAAAAATAGAAGATTTACTGTTATGCAGATTACTGCAATATTGTAATAATTTTATAAATAATGTCAACCCATTCATGACTGCATATTAGAATGGCTAGTTGGACATTTATTGGAAAATGACATCATTTGTTTACATTTGAACATCGGCAAAAATCAAACATTTCCCCTACCTTGAGCTCCATTTCAAGGTGTTTTTCATAGTAAAACCAATCAAAATCGCCTCTATTTCTATAATATGTTTTCCATTCTATCAAATGAGACCAAGAAAACGAGAATACAACCATAAATACTATACGAAAACAGACCAAAGTCGGCATTTTAATAAAAAAAAAAGCCAGAGTTTTTTTTTTCTCGTTATGCACTGCGTGCTGCAGGATTTTTTTTATATGGTGCACACTGACCACACAGACCCATTCACTCACATGTGGGCCTACCAGCTTTCTCCTGCTTGATTTGAAGACGCTAGAATTTATGAGTATATATACCTTAAAAACGGTGGCTCGTGAAACGTATATATACGACCAAAACAGTAAAGGGTTAAGGGACCATGTGCTGACATTTTGGTACATTCATGAGTGTGATTTTTTTTATGCATGATGATACCCCTGCTCATAAGTCAAAAGCAGTGTGCAAAAGTTCCTCGAGGACAATCATATCAGTGTTTCGGAGTGGCCAGGCAATTCCCCTGACCTATATCCTATCGAGAATGCCTGGCATGTGACGAAAAATGTGACTGCAAAAGCTCAACCCACCAACATTATGGGCCTGAAGGAGGCACTGAAGATAAGGATCAACATGGACGTATCCTTATTCTCCACCCTTGCCACTTTGATGCCCAGGCAACTTCAGATGGTGATAAAGAACAAGGGTAACATGACCAAGTACTAGCTGGAAGCTAAAAAGTGAAAATAAAATACATATACATACAGGAAGTTGCATTTTTTCGTTTAATTGTCCAAAAATTTTTAATGTATAGATTTTTTTATGTGGCCACTATAATAAGTGTACTGTGTGTGTATTTTACTTTTTATCATTTTTAATGCCTAGTTCTATTGCTAACTTAATGCTAGTGTAAACTTATCTAGCATTTATATGCATCTGTAAGTGGAGAAAATGGTGTTCTGCTTTCCAGAGATGTTCACTTTCCAAGCGATAGCCCGGAACCTAATCTGCCATATAAGTGGGGCCTTACCGCATACATAATTCAGTTTAAAAAAAAAAAAAAAAAAACAGTGCCATTTGCTTAATCTAGCATTTTTTTCATGACATGTCATTGCACAAACTTCAACCAATAAATAAAACCAACCATCTCCTTGCAGGATGTGTCTGGACAGAGCCCAGTATGGCATGGGTTAGCACAGGGATGACCACATGATTCCCGAGGTTTTAAGCACTTTTGCGTGCATAAAGTTCCTTCTGGTACACAAGGCAGTTCATGGCAAACACGCTGACATTTGTGTAAACCACAAGGTAATGGACGTCCACACACTCCTCCACATGACACAGCAGTCAAGTAGCAAAGGGTTCGAAGCATTATCTGCAAGATAGACATCCTGTATATGATATAGAGTGAAAACTATCTTGTGTACTATTTTGTGATACACAGATGAAATTTTTATTTTTGAAAGTGGCATCTTCAATTTGATCAGCTTTCATGTGATATCATAAGTCAGCAATATATCTTACCTTATGATTACCAAAACAAGGCTTATCAACAAGCATCGTACAAGGTGGACAGGGTTCATCAGGGTGACAGAGGTGGGTAGCTTCATGAGGACAACTATGAGGTCGTCGACATGGATTGTCACAGACTGGGGGTTTGGTTCCACAAGGCACAGGTGGGTACAACACTGATGCACCACAATGGCACGTTAGTTCTTCAAAGCTCGTCTGCCAGCATCTGAAACAAAATAACAACAATCAGGCATTATAAAATGTCCTTTAACATAGAATACTAATACAGTGGAACCTTGGCTTACGAATGCCCCACCATGCGAGGTGGGAACAGCTGGAGGTATTGGGAAGATGGCAGGAATATTTTGAGGAACTTTTAACCCTTTCAGGGTCCGTGCCATAGTTCTACGGCTTTGAGTTAAGGGTCCAAACCGTAGATTTACGCAATGAGCTCAACTCATTCTGATAAGCTGTGAGTGGTAAATTTGGGCCTAGATATGAGAGAATACATCTATGTGGTATGTGTGCACCACATAAAGCAAATCCTGCAGCACACACTGCATAATGAGAGAAAAAAAAACGAGACCGTAAATTTTTATTAAAACAGCGACTTTGCAGTGTTTTTTTCATATTTTTTTAAAGTTGAATTTGCGATTTCTTGGTCTCATTTGATAGAATGGAAGATATATTATAGAAAAAGAGATGATTTTGACTGGTTTTAATGCTGAAAATGGCTTGAAACTGAGCTCAAAGTAGCAGAAATGTTAAATTTTTGCTGATGTTCAAGAGTAAATATGACTCATGAAATCGTAATGACACGATTGCAAATAAACCATACCAAGAGTAAACAAATGACCTCACACGTCTAATATACGGCAGCTGGTGGGTCTATGTTCACATATGTGGTGATATCATATCTACAATTATTACAATATTGCGTAACAGTAAATCTTCTATTTTTTGGTTTGAATAAAAATTCATTATGTGAATAAAAAATCAAAATGGAATTCATTTACAAACCCTGAAAACATAACTAATTAACAGAAGAAATGTTAGTTTAGTGCCAGAATGCCTGCATTGTTTATTCTGGACCCTATTTTGAAATTGGAATATTTTGAACTTTGCATTAAATTATCCAAATTACCAATTTCCAATCACTATTTTGTAGCTGAAACAGTTGACTTCGCAATTTCTTGTGCTCAATCGATAGAATAGAAGTAATACTAGTGAAATAGCTAAGAATTTGGTCAACTAGAATAATGTAATTGGCCTAAAATGGGAGTAAAAGTCGGCAAAATCGCCCATGTGTAAATATCGCTGAGACATCAAAATTCGCGAGAGCATAATTTCATCAATTTTCGTACTTTTTGTTTTATTACCTTCAGAAAAAGAATCTCTACCATTTCGTAAGAAAAAATAATAAAATCATTTTTTTTAAATTCTTGGGACCCCGGTGCACACTTTGAAATTTGGCCTCTGGACCCTGAAAGGGTTAACCACACTCTCTGCTTCCTACTGGAGAGCCATGGCTTGATCCATGACAGCACTTTTTCCCCAGTGCCATGAGTTGACCCATTCTTTAACAGTCTTTGGTGTGATACTCTATCAAAAGCCTTACTAAAATCTAAATAAACAATATCGAATTCTTTGTCACGATCAACAGCCTCAAAAACTTTACTGAAGAAGGTTAGTAGTATAAAACTACAAAACCTGTTTAGTTATGGCTTGTCTTTAACCTCTCGACTGTTTCAGCCGTAAATATATGTCTTACAAGCCAGTGTTTTGGACATATATATACTCAATAATTTTAGTGGCTTCAAATCAAGCAGGAGAAAGCTGGTAGGCCCACATGTGAGAGAATGATCCAGTGTGGTCAGTGTGCACTGTATAAAAAAATCCTGCAGCACACAGTGCATAATGAGGAAAAAAACTCCTACCGTGTTTTTGGATTAAACGCAGACTTTGAGGTGTATTTTTGTATGGTATTTATGGTTGTATTCTTGTTTTCTTGATCTCATTGATAGAATGGAAAACATATTACAGAAATAGAGATGATTTGATTAATTTCATGATGAAAATGACCTTGAAATCGAGCTCAAAATAGCGGAAATGCTCGATTTTTACCAATGTTCAAGAGTAAGCAAATCACACCACATGTCCAATACACATCAACTGGGGAGTCTAATATTCTTTCACTAGTGCACTGATATTATTTATACCATTTTTACAATAATGCAGTAGTCAGCATAACAGTAAATCTTCTATTTTTTGTTTCAATAAAAAATCAAAATAGAAAGCAAGAGTAATATAAGAGAGGCCTGGAGATGTGACTAATGAACAGAGGATATGTAATTTTAGTGCCAAAAATGTCTGCATTGTTTATTCTGGACCCTATTTTGAAATTGGCATCTTTTTTAATTTGTGTGAAATTGGCCAAATTGCCAATTTCTGACCACTTTATTGGGTAATTGAAATCGGTAAATGGGCAGGTTCTTGAATTCAATTCATAGAAAAAATGGAGTTCTAAAGAAATAGCTATGAGTTTGGTCGACTGGAACAATGGAATTGGCCGAAACAGGGCTCAAAGTCAGCAAGATCGCCAATGCGTATATATCGCCGAGATCGCTAACTTTGAGGGAGCGTGATTCCCTAAGTTTCTGATCAAATTTCGTACTTTTGGTGTCATTACCCTCAGGAAAAGATTCTCTATCATTTCATAAAAAAATCATTTTTTTCCCCAAAAATTTTGCAACACAGAATGACAAAATGGGCTTGCGACAGTCAAAGGGATAAACTGTTGAAACAATTTCCTTCATAATCACCAAGTAGAAAGAAGTTTTAAGATAAACAAAAAAATATTTATCCTTTAGAACAAATGAGAAACTTGCTAAAGTAGCAGACAATGAAGAAGTTTAACAATATGAGGAAGGAATCTTTTGGTAATCTAACTACCAATTCCATGAGTGATAGGCAAGCCTGCTATCCACTACTACCAGAATTAACCCTTTCAGGGTCCAGAGGCCAAATTTCAAAGTGCACACCAGGGTCCAAGAATTTAAAAAAAATTATTTTTTCTTATGAAATGGCAGAGAAACTTTTTCTGAAGGTAATAAAACAAAAAGTACGAAATTTGATGGAAAATTGACAAAATTATGCTCTCGCGAATTTTGATGTGTCAGCGATATTTACGAATCAGCGATTTTGCTTACTTAGACTCCCATTTAGGCCAATTACATTATTTCAGTCAACCAAATTCTTAGCTATTTCACTAGTATTACTTCTATTCTATCGATTGTGCACAAGAAATCACAAAGTCAACTGTTTCAACTACAAAATAAAGTGACCAGAAATTGGTAATTTGGCCAATTTAACGCAAAGTTCAAAATATTCCAATTTCAAAATAGGATCCATAATGAACAATGTAGGTATTCCTAGCACTAAACTAACATTTCCTCTGTTCATTAGTCATGTTTTGAGGCTTTACAAATGAATTCCATTTTGATTTTTTATTCACATAATGAATTTTTATTCAAACCAAAAAATAAAAGATTTACTGTTATGCAATATTGTAATAATTGTATAAATATCATCACCACATTTGTGAATGTATATTAGACCCACCAGCTGGTGTGTATTAGACGAGTGAGGTCGTTTGTTTACTCTTGAACATCAGCAAAAATTTAACATTTCCGTTACTTTGAGCTCAGCTTCAAGCCATTTCCAGTGCAAAAACCAATCAAAATCATCTCTATTTCTGTACTATCTCTTCCATTCTATCAAATGAGACCACGAAATCGCAAATACATACGAAAAAACACTGCAAAGTAGCTGTTTTAATCGAAAATTACAGTCTCAGTTTTTTTATCTCTTTATACACTGTGTGCTGCAGTTGTTTTATGTGGTGCACACATACCACATAGATGTATTCTCTCATATCTAGGCCCAAATTTACCACTCACAGCTTATCAGAGTGAGCTGAGCTCATGGCGTGGATCTACGGTTTGGACCCTGAATGTAAAGCCGTAGTTCTACGGCACGGACCCTGAAAGGGTTAAAAGAACCCAAACAAGGACATGTACTTATTCTGACGACTGAGGCAACAGTGGGGACCATCACAATCAATGCAGTATGTACCCCACTTTCTTATTTAGGTTTTTTAACGTTGGTAGTGTAGTCATTACCATAACGGCTTCCATCATGCACAGCTAACAGTTGGACTCCTGCAAGATTCCTCCTCCATCATGATGTTACTTTAATGGGTGTAAAATTTTACATTATTAAAACCACAATTTCATTTATTCTTTTTTTTAAGAACCTGATTATACTGCATGTTACAGGCCAACAATCTGATTACATAACATATTGATAATATAACTATAAACAAACTATGATTATGAGTGGCAATAAACATCTTATTCAGTTACTTAGGGAATGTAGCAACAATGGGCTCACCTTGGACAGTTTCCACGGTGACATGGCTCTTCGCATTTATGTAAGCCACATGTCAACATTCTCCCACACACCAACGTACAAATGTGGTCCACATCTATACAGCATTTGGTGCTGCATTTGTGTCTGCTACAGTGACGCATCTGTGAAATAACTCATACTAAGCAATAGAAAACACACTATTTCCATTGAACTATAGAACTCTGTGCAAGAGATCAAATCTTCAGAAATACACAGGAATAAATGTCAAAATACACAATGAACAAAGTTAATGCTTCTAGTTTCCAGAACAGTGGAACCTCGGCTTACGAACTTAATCCATTCTGTGACTTTGTTCGTATCCTGATTTGTTCGTATGCTGAGTCAATTTTATTCATTTAAATTAAATGAAATGCAATTAATCTGTTCCAGCCTCTCAAGAGGCATGACAAAATAATGCTAATATCAACTCTATGGCTTAGTTATCTTTCTTTGCTCCAATCATATTATGATATGTAAACACACACTGTAACCTATGCAAAGAAATAAATATTTTCTTTATTTATTTATTTATTTAAGGAACCTCTCTTGAGGGGGAAGTTCACATCCTGAAATTTCGTTCGTATCCAGAAGCAAAAAATCGACCGAACGACAGTTCGTATCCTGAAAAAATTCGCATGGTGGGGCATTCGTACGCCGAGGCTCCACTGTATACAGTTAAAATGGACGAGTGTCCAAGTGAGAGGCGACTCCTCACACCATTACAATACAGAAATGTTCGTAATGGTTTTTAATCTTCTAAATTAATGCTAAACCATAACCAGGCTCTACCTGTTTTTTTTTTTTTTTAACACATCGACTGCTTCCCACCAAGGCAGGGTGACCCAAAAAAGAAGAAACACTTTCATCATTATTCACTCCATCACTGTCTTGCCAGAGGAGTTCTGATACTACAGTTCAAAAACTGCAACAAATCTCCATCCCTCGTTCAGAGTGCAGGCACTATACTTCCGGCCTCCAGGACTTGAGCCTGGTTAACTGGTTCTTGAATCCCTTCAAATATGTGGTGGATGCAAGTTTGTCTTTAGTCCAGTATAATACTGATATACAATACCAACAAGTAGATAAGACACATGTGCAACAGTTAGATACCTCAATTAAGAAAAATTTTGCCTACACAGTAGGCTTCATCAGTTAAATACAGAGGTGGAAAATATGGAAACAGCAGAATCAGTGTTGAGGTAAAGATGTGATCAGTCCATCAACCTTGCAGCAGCAGTCTGAGGTGGTCAGTCCCACAGCCTGGAGAAGTGTTCAACTTCACAGTCTTGAACAATATGAAGCCAGAGATTTTTATTGCCAAAGGTGAAAACAGGAACTGAGAATGGAGGTGGCATCACGGGAAACAGTTCCACTAGTAGAAGTAAGAACACAAAAACCGAGGAACATCACAGCAAGAATATTGGCTCATGCTAGGCAGGTCCTCAAATCCAACTAGTGGTTTAGCAACGAAGTCACAGATGTCCTCCGTACCAAGTTACCATTGTGTTGCAGTGTCAGACAAATATCAACATACTTAAGTATTGCACTTGTGTCTTACTTATCTACTTGTCAATACTGTATATCATTTTTACACTGATACTTGTCTGACACTGCAACACAAAGGTAACTTTCAACACAATAGCAACTTCACTGTTGAACTGCTAATTGTGTGTTCCTCAACTCTTACGTTCTTACTTCCTGTGTAATTTTCTCCATCCTCCACACCTCACCTGTGGTACTATAAAAGGTTCTATTCTCATGTCTCAGCTTCATTGTTCTAAATTATGAAGTTGAACACATCTCCAGGCTGAGGGACTGACCACCTCAAACTACATTAAGGTGGATGGACTGATCACATCATCTTTAAACTCTCTGCTGCTTCTGTTGTCTCCGTATTTTCTACCTATTTATTCAACTGATAAAACTCACTGTGTAGGTGAAACATTCTGGAATGAAGATACCTTACTGTTCCACAAGTGTTTTACTTTTCTACCTTTAATTTTCCACTTTACTGTCAACTATGTAAATGAGTTCATTCTACTAAAGTAATGCTTCAAGACACTTCTGTGACACTGCTGGGTCTTCATTCCATGCTCCATTCCATGTTCTAGATTCTTCCCTGGTAAAAATGTTTGTTCTACATACCACAATATTTATGCTGTGAACACTTCTCTTAACCCCTTCTGTATAGATTACTATGTGTAAGAAGAAAAACTTTTGTTTTTCATTTTAAGTCACCCTCTCTTGGTGGGAGACAACCGGTGTTGAAAAAAAAAAAAAAAAAAACACTTCTCGACACAAACTAACCCACATGGAGACAAAACATAAAAAATATTAGCATTCTACATTTCGTTCCCATACTGTTCATTTCTCCATGGAAGAGCTCAAGTTCAAAAAGGTTTTCCTCATAGCCCCAACACCAATTTTCTGCCATTCACGTAATTCTGATACCATTTAAGAACAGATATATAGGTGTTTAACTAAACAAGCAAGTTTCTGTTACACACTGTACATGGAAGAAAACTGAGCACACTAGCATTTAAGACTTTGTCTTCTATCTTTCAGACATTTTTTTATTCATGCTAGTATCCTACATGTCATATCAGTCTGCTTCCCCAGCTAGTGTCTTCTGTGTGATACTGTGTCAAAAGCCTGATTGCAGTTGAAGGAAGTAGTAGTCTGCCAACATTCTTTTTATAAGTTAATCCAGATCACCATGTCATAATTAGCCTGGTAGAGATTAAGAACTGTAGATTAAACAAATTGAACTTTCGATAAAGCTAACCTCAGTATAGAGGACTTAGGTAATAACACAAAATCCACTGGATAAAATGTCCTTTTCAGCCCTTTGAGTGTTTTGGTCGTACAGTGGAACCTTGAAAATCGAACGTACCAAATATCGAACGTTTTGAAAATAAGACCACTTTTTCGAACAAACTGTGTACCAAACATCGAACGCGTTTCAAATTTCGGACCGCCGGGTACAGAACCTGTCCTCTGGCCCGCTCTGTCCGTGTCCCCGTGCAGGCGCCGTGAGCAGTCTAGCTTTGTTTATGCTTGAGTAAACACTAACCTGTGCTCTCCTTCACACATTTTACAATTATTTCGTTGTGTTTAGTGCTTCTGGGACTATGAAATAAGCTGCCATGGGCCCAAAGAAACTTGCTAGTGGTACCCGTGTGGTAAAGAAACTGAGAAACACCATAGATGTGAAGAAGGAAATAATACAGAAGTATGAGAGTGGTGTGAGACTTGTTGAGCTTGCCAGGATGTATGGGAAAAACAAGTCGACCATTGGTTCTATCCTGGCAAAGAAAGAACAAATCAAGGAAGCTGATGTTGCGAAAGGTGTTAATATGCTAACCAAAAAAAGACCACAAATAGTTGAAGAGGTTGAGAAGTTGTTGCTGGTGTGGATCAAGGATAGAGAGACTGCAGGTGATAGTGTTTCACAGACGATTATTTGCTAAGAGGCAAAGAAGTTGCATGCCGATCTGGTACAGAAAACTCCTGGAACCAGAGCTGATAGTAAATTTAAGGCCAGCAGAGGCTGGTTTAAAGAGATTTAAGAGCATAGTGGCATACACAATGTTGTAAGACATGGTGAGGCAGCCAGTTCAGACAAATGGGCAGCTGAGAAGTTTGTACAGGAGTTTAAGGGGTACATAGACAGTGAAGAATTCAAACCTGAACAAGTGTTTAATTGTGACGAAACAGGCTTGTTTTGGAAGAAAATGCCAAAAAAAGACCTTCACACACAGGAGGAAAAGGCACTGCCGGGGACACAAGCCTATGAAAGACAGGCTTACTCTTTGTTCTGTGCTAATGTTTGTGGTGATTTTAAAGTGAAGCCTTTACTTGTGTATCATTCAGAAAATCCCAGGTTTTTAAAGGGAAAAAAACAATGTCTTTAAGAACAAGTTATGTGTCTTGTGGAAAGCTAATCATAAGGCATGGGTCACAAGACAAATTTTAAAAAGAGTGGGTAAGTGAAGGGGTTTGGCCCCAGTGTGAAAAAATACCTCCAGGAAAAGAAATTGCCCCTCAAGTGCCTCCTGTTAATGGACAATGCTCCTGCTCATCCTCCAAACTTATTAGACCTCTTTCTAAGGACTTCATTTATAAAAGTGAAGTTCTTGCCTTTCCCAACAACACTCCTCCCCCTTCCCGCCCATGGACCAGCAGGTCATTTCTAACTTCAAAAAACTCGACACAAAAGCAGTGTTTTGAAAAGTGCTTTGAAGTGACCACAGACACTAAGATGACCCTAAGAGAGTTCTGGAGGAATCCTTCAACATCTACAACTCCATAAGTCTTATAGGTAAGGCTTGGGAGGGAGTGACTTCCAGGACTTGAACTCTGCTTGGAGACAATTGTTGGGGCCCGATAGTGTCCAAAAGAGGGATTTTGAAGGGTTTGGGCCCGACCCTCACCCTGGGCCCAGCTCACCCTCTGCCTGTTGTGGACTCCATTGGTGGCACTGGGGAACACCCTTGGGGGTTGGAGCGAGTAGTGAGGATGTGGAAGAGTTTTGGGGGAGGACCACAGGGAAGAGCTAACCACTGAAGAGCTGCAAGAGCTTTATTGGAGCAGTATCAGACCACAGCTGAGGAACTTGCTTCAGAGGAGGAGGAAGACGGAGTGGATGAGGAGCCTTCTTCAAAGATTAAGGAGATTTGTGCCAAGTGGAATGATGTCCCAAATGTTGTGCAGAAGTACCACCCTGAGCAAGCTGAAAACAAGCCATCTTTTTCAAAAAAGTTCAGTGAGAGAACCATGTCCCATTTTAGGGAAATGTTAAAGAGGCACCAGAAACAGAGGACTGTGGACAGTTATTTTGTGAGACAGGGGTCCAGTGACTCTCAAGCTGGTCCTAGTGGCATTAAAAGACAGAGAAGGGAAGTAACCCCAGAGAGGGCTTTACCTGAAGTCCTCATGGATGGGGATTCTCCTTCCAAACACTAACCCCAACTCCCTCTCTTCTCCTCCCTATCTTCCAGATGCCATCACCAATCTTCAATAAAGGCAAGTAAAAATGTTATTTTATATTTTATATTATATGTATATATTATTTTATATGTATATTATTTTATATGTATGTAAAACTGTAATTAATCTCTAT